TAAAAAAATATTATTGGTTTTTTTTTTCATTATTTGTTAAACAAGGAAGTTCATGGCAAGCTTGCAAGCATTTATTATGCTTTGAAGGCTTACAATAAACCTATTGCATGTAGTATTTGTGTTCTAAGTGGCAAAAGACACATGATAAATCAACCTTAATCTTTGTCAAGCTATTAGTTCTAACTTTAACTTTTTTATTTTTTTCATCTTGTTATACATGATTGTATGAACAACCTTGCTTGTAAGGTTGTCGAGTAGAAAGGGATGAATATATAGGTTCATTTTGTCCTTAAAAATTAATTTAAATGACTTAGCTAATTTGTTATTATATGCTAATTCATGATATTTTTCTTGATTTTTGACATAAGTCGAAACTGCACCACAAATAAATTGGACTAACGATGGACCTCACTCAACTTGTCATAGGTTATAAAAATGGACATGGGTATTCTGATCGGGCCGGTGTTTATGCCTTATCATTAGGATGCGTTAGGAAGATTAACTTGGTGGGCTCGAAATAGATTCCGTTCAAGGAAGGTTTAATTATTATTTTCTTTAGTCTTTACTAACAAGTTGAAGCAATTTAGCCCAATAAACCTAAATATTTTAAGTTAAATCTAACCATCCAAACTTGGATTATATGATATGATCGTATCGATCAAGGGTCATTTTCTTTCACTATAAATACCGACCTTATATCATTATGAGAAGATCATAATACTTGGCATCAAATAAACTTTTACTTTAGGAAACTTTTGATCTCTAGCAACATATATATATATATATATATATATATATATATATAGATATAGATATATATATATATATATCATAAACTCTCCATATTAAATCTCTCCTACTCACACATCGAGCAACACTTAAAGCTCCACTCGTTTAAACTTTAACCTCTCACCTGTCGCCATACAACTTGCATCTTACTAGCGTTGTTTGTTTTTTCTTTCATGCCTCTCACTATTTGTATCATTTCTACTTAGTTGATTGACCATTGCTTCTATAAGTTGCAACACTAGCTCTTTGCATCTTAACTAGACTATCGATTAGTCGTTTGATTAGTTCCCAAGAACCACTTTCTACAAATTATTTTGAAAATCTACATCAATTTCTTGCAATTTTAGCACCCAAATTTTTTCAAAAAAATATATATACAAAAATACAAAACAAAAAAAAAGAAGGAAAAAATAAAAAGGATTGAAAAAAACAATCAATGTATATAATTGGAAAAAAAATGAGAGAAAAGAACCAAAATAAAACAAGCTTGTGAGATGAGGGACCAAACTAAAATTTATCCTAAAAACCTTAAATAGTTAGTATAAATGCCCCCATTTTCTTCAAAACCTTCAAGTTACTTTCTCTCTCTAAAATTTGGCCATACATTCTCTCTTCTTAAGAAAATTCCGATCAACCTTCTCCTCTACGAAAGTTCGTCGCCATCTAGTGCTTCGATCACCTCTTCGATCTCCTTCAAAACTACCGTCGTCCAACACTCCTCCTCCCTAAATCTCCTCCACCAAAGCTGCTATTGTTCTTTCTAACCGGTAGCTAAATTTGACATCGATCAACTCTCTTTCACTCCTCTAATCGTTGATCAACGACACCCAATGCCACACTCGAAGTTGCTACCTAATCTAGCAACCCATGCATACCGCACGCATACTCCATCATCCATGCCACGCACTCTATGTTCAGCAACTAGCCGCCTAATCACATCGGACCATGAGTTAACAACCGTTCCGGATATGACCACCATCCGATGCCAATCACCGACCATTACTCCTAACTCGTCCGACCATTTGACAACCGTTTATCAATAGCCTTTCGTCACTATCAACCTCCATTCAATGCCAACATTGGTTTAGATCCACTCACCAATAACAACCTCACCTCACAATAAGTCTAGATCCGTAATAGGCGACCATCTCTCCCTCCTAGTTGATCGAATAATCGGTTTCCATTGAGATTGAAAAGGTCAAAACTAATCCTAATTCAACGGACAAATTCATTCTACCTTTTACGATAATTTATTTTTACCTTTTATTTTATTTTATTTTAATATGTATTAAATTTAGTTCGTGTTGATGTGTTTGTAAATTAATAAAATAGTTGTTATTGTATAAATTAATTAAATTTATGCTTATATATGATTTGATTAAACTGTTGTTGTGTATAGGGTTTAATTAATTTGTCGTTATGTTTTTATTGGTTTGATCGATGTTTGTGATTGATGATGTGGTTGTATTATTTTGTTATTGCTTGTGCGATTTTTTTTAGTTGCATTGGTCCGAATCTCATTTTTAGACCACTTTTGGCAATTGTGACAATTAACCGAGTTATGTTAATTTATCCTAAAAAAATTTGGGATTCTTGCTTCATGTTGAGTAAACGAAGGTGTTTTTTGGACTATTTATGCCGATGGTATCGTTAAATTACTCACATGCTAATTTTATCTTAAAAAATTCAATTTTAGGTCATGTCAATTCGAACCTCATTGTTTGGACCATTGTTGTCAATTATTGATTAAAATTGATATTATTGCCAATTCGCTTAAAAATGTGATTCTTGAATTGTGTTGGTCCGAACTTCACTTTAGGATCTTTTTTCCCATTGCAAAGATTAATTGATATTGTGCTAATTTGTTAAAAAAATATGATTCTCAAGCCGCATTAGTCCGAGCTCCATTTCGGATTGCTTTTGTGGATTGTGACGATTAATTTGACATTGTGCCAATTTTACTTAAAAATCACGATATTCAAAGTTGTGTCAATCCGAACCGCGCTCTCGGATCATTTTTCTTATTTTTTTCAAATTTTTCAAATTTGCCATTTTTGCCCCTCTTTTATTGCTTTTGTCATCTTTCGCCATTATTTTGCCAATTCCATCTATTTTATTATTTTAAAAAATTGTCATCATTTTTGCCAACTTTAATGATTTTTGCTAATTTTGCCTTTTTTACCATTTTGGTCAATTTTGCCATTTTTGTCGTTTTTCTTGTTTGCCCATTTGCTTATTTTTGCTTATGTTGCTTATGTTGCTTATTTTTGTTTACTCAGCATATTTTGTCTATTTTGCCTATTTATCAATTTTTAAGTCTTGTTTTCACATATGCTATTTAGATCATATTAGTCACATATCATTATATTCATCATGCCTTTTCCATTTTCATAGCTATTCATTACAGAGTGAGGATGAGGTACTTGACCAACCAAGTTTCAAACCACTCGATCGATGGGCAAATATTTAGAAATAGGTATAGACTTTCATCAATAAAAAAAGATCAAAAAAATCAAAATCAATATTGTATGTAATGCAACTTGTCTTAGGTAGGTCGAGGTAGGATGATTTTTAATCTTCCCTACACATAATAAACCCCTTATCCAGTACTCGCACAAACTAGTCATAAGATTTTGTAGTAACCATAATACTAGGTAACGACTCTAGTTTTTTTACTCATTTTTCCTATTTCTCGAAAATCGTCGCCCTTGCCCCGACGTCACCTTATGACAGTAGTATTTCAAAGATTTTATTTTTAAAAAATTAAAAGAAGAAAAAAAAATCAAAAAGAAAATCTTATAAATAACTTTTATATTTCTTTCTTGAATCTATCACTATTTTCAAACCTACATCAATTTCATTTAGTATTTCATCGCTTTCTAAAAATTTTAAAAGAATATAAATCCAAAATAAAATCTTATATGCTACATTCCCATTTTTTTCTCATATATATTGTTAAATTCATGTATTATATTGAAAAAATAATTCCTTGCATCATATATTTTTTAATCCCATAAATACTTCTTTTATGTTTTTAACAAAAATAAATTCTTTTATTCATATTGTAAAATCTAAAATCTCAAAATATTAACAACTTTTTTTAAAATATAACAACATTATGTCAAATATAAATTGAACAATCAATGGATAAAATCCATAATCATTATAGCTCTGTTTGGTAATGTTTTCTTACTCTTAAGACTAAATCAAATTTAGGATTGCTATTACCAACTTACCATGTACTCGTTAGTAGGGACGAATAAATAATTTTTAGTTTGGTTTTGGGTAATTTTAGTTAGATTAGCTGAATTATGAAAAACAAAAACCAAAGCCGAATCAAATTGAAATTTGGTTTTTCAATTAGAAAATCAAAATTTTGGTTTCGGCTTTTGATTTTTTCGATTTAAACCATTTTTTTTTCAAACTTTTGAATGGGCTCTACACCTTTGGCCCTTTTGAGCATGTGGGGCGGGTTAAACTTGTAGCTTAGGATCAAATAATCATGCTTCACAATAGACTTCCTCAAGAGCTTTACAAAAGCTTCTAACTTCATTATACCTTCTATCTTCTTTTTATTAGTTTTCAAAGAGTGTTCAATTTTTAATAAAGCATTTGCAACTAGCCATGAATAAAAATTATGAAAATTAACCAAAACCAAACAAGCCAAACAAACAAATAAATAATGAATAACAAAGCCACTAATTGAAAATTTTCGATTTTGATGGAGTGTATTATTGCACGTTTCTTTCAAAATATTAAAAACATCTCCAATTTGTTGCCCCTTGTATTGCTCTTAACTTGAAAAGTACACCAACAATGGTGAGATCCATATTAGCAAAACCCATCACAATAAAAGTAAGTACTCATCATTTTGTCATTTAATTAACTAAATAATTAAGCATCTATGCGGTATAAACATGTTGATTTCTTTACATAATCCTCTCTCGGTGTGGGTGTAATATGTTACAAAATAAAGTTATTAATGGGTTAATTTTATCAAGAGTAAATCAATCTTCAATCAAATTTTAAATTGATTATACTAGTTTAGTTATCAATTCCAAATTTATCAACATTCTAAGCTAATTGATGAAACCCAAAATAAATTTAAATTAAGTACAAATAACCACTATTGCATTATCAATAATGCCACATTGCCATGTTCGAATCAAAATAATCATCAATAGATGAATTCCCGATAATTCTACATTAAAATGAAAGTCAAATCTCAAACCAAATCTATCAACATCCTTACCTTGAATGAAGACGAAAGAACTGGTGGTGGGTGGAACTTGCTTCGAATTTTTGCCCTTTCGAGTTTTGATAGAGTTAAGATTATGAAAGAGGAAGGAAAAGGAAGAAGTGTCTATGATTTTGTAAGAGAAGAGGAGAGGGGTGTTTGTGACTGTGGGAGAAGAAGATGGGGTTGTGGTTGTGGTTGGCCTATGGAAGATGAACATGGAGAGAGATAAGGGGTTTGTCCCTAGAAGAAAAGAGAGGGTAGTTGTTAATTCTTGAAATGAAAGTTAGGTTTAGGGTTTTGTTTAAATTTTCTCTTTATATACTACATAAAACAAATTAATTCAATTTTTGATTTAAACTGAATGTAAACTATTAAAAATCAAATCGAAATTATTTTGATTTAATTTTTTTATTTTATTTTTTAAAAATCAAATTAAAATTACTATTTTGATTCAGTTCAATTTGATTTTTTGGTTCGAATTTTGCTCGCCTCGAGTTGTTTGGTCGGACAACATTGTCCTTGTTGGCTTACATTCTTGGGCCTTCCGTTGTATTAATAAATAAATAATAAAAAAAAGTACGGCCCAAACGTCGGCCATCGGTTTAAAGTAGATCCGGTTCGCTCTCACAGTAACATTTCTTGTGCAAAAAAGCAGTTTCTAATTCTAAAACATTGACACGCCACGCAAATAGTCCTCCTGCAAGACGGAGAGAGACATGCCGCATTCACCTCTGTCAATCTATAGCTTTAATTTGAAGTTGTAGGTTTTAGGCTCTAAACAACCAGCAGTTATCTCTCTCTCTTTTCAACCCTATCTAGTTATTCTTCAACCGATAATGGATTCTCAGGATTCAATCTTTGAGATATACAGCCGTTACTGTAATATTGGATCAGTAAAATCATGCCAAACCAATGAACATGATGTACACAGGGGTAAACCTTCAAGGGATGCTCTGGCTGAGCTTTTGAAATTTATGGAGTTAAATTTCCATTCAAGGTTGGTAAATAACGTATCTTTTTCAGTTAAATGTACTATTTTGTTGGATTTGGAAATACCCTTTTGATGATCTTTAACTGATTTGATGTTTGTGTAGGATTTGATTGAGTTTCTTGGTTTTTGGGTTCTTGGTTTTCTTTGATAGTTTTTAGGGATACTCACACATATCTATAAATTGTGGGTTTTATTATATTTTTAGGATATTGTTGGTTTTAAGCCTTAATGTAGAGTTTTAGGATTTTTGGGTTTTTGTTGTTTTTACTGATAATGTGCCTTTTCATAAGTTTTCTTGACTGATGGATATCACTCGGTGAGTATTGGTGTATTTTTATTTTTTAAAAGAAAAGACTGTTTCTTGTAAACCAAGAGCCTTACAAATTGACACAAATGCCACTGGCCTCCGATGATTGGAATCTATTAACCTAACCCTTAGGTTGAATTTGAAGATTGTGAGACAATCTGGCCAATTATCTTGGTTGAGTCTTGTTCTGATGCTCTTATGATTCAATTTGCTAAAAATCACACCGGCTGTATATTTTTTATATGAACCCTTCCAGTTGAGTTTTATTTGCTATTTGGTTCTATGGAGTTCGTTTTTAGCTAGCTGTGTACTTTCCTTTTGTTAGATTTCTCTGTTTCCTGAAATGATTTATGGCATTTCCTTTGACAGAATTTCAGTTTTTGATGAGCTTCTCAAGCTCATGTCAAAGCTAGAACTTATGGTGAGTTTCATTTATTCATCTCTTGAACTGGAGACATTTCTTTTTATTCGCTCATTGATGCTCTCCACTAATAACTGTCACTCCTAAATCTGTTTTTATCTATGGCAAAAGAAACAAATATTTAGTATTCTGTTTTTTATTTATAACTCTGTACCTCTCTGTAGGTGGATTTCTCAGAATTCTCTCGTTTCTATGATTTTGTATTCTTCATGTGTCGTGAAAATGGTCAAAAGAATATCAGTAAGTTTTCTGATTTCTAATGTTTTTGATATATAGGCATGGTTTAATGGATTCTTTTACATAGGCGACTTATATTTCTGGAATTTCTCTTGCAGCTGTAAACAAGGCTGTTTCAGCATGGAAATTAGTTTTAGCTGGGAGGTTTCGGTTGCTAAACCAATGGTGTGACTTTGTTCAGGTATGGGTGTTACTAAGCTAACTGGATAACTGTGATTTGTGATTCATTTTTTTTTCCCCCTTTTAAAGCATTGTTCAATTGAGTAGAGTATGGTATGGGTGTTACTAAGCTAACTGGATAATTTGTGATTCAAATTTTTTTTTTTTTTGTCCTTTTCTCCTTTTAAAGCACTGTCCAGTTGAGTAGACTACTTTATGGAATGTTTATGTAGCTGTTCATTATGGGTGGATGCATAAATTTATGAATTGGGATATATTGTCTCTCAGTTGAAAATGAGTGGTAAAAATATATGTCACTATATACCTTATGAATATTATCGATGGTCTCATTCTTTTGTTTTTCACATTTCTTTTGAACTAATCTTTTGATTGCTTTTAGGAAAATCAACGACACAATATATCTGAGGATACTTGGCAGCAAGTTTTAGCTTTTAGCAGGTGTGTACATGAAAATCTTGAAGGGTACGATCCTGAAGGTACAATTTCTTAAGGTTTCATTGATTTAGTCACATGTATTTAAGCTATAGTATAAAGCTACATGTTTGCCATCTATTATTTAGAACAATTTGTCTGTGCCCTTCTTTTTTGTCAACTTTTCTATTGATAGAAAGGACATTTTTTCCCTGTGATTTTGAACAATGTGGGTTTTCCAAAACATTGATTGGTTATAATTGCCATGCATAGTGGAAATTTGTTTCTATCAGCTGGATGAAGATTATGTTTATTCTTTGAAAATTGCTTCACCAGTGATGCTAATTTCTGCTTTCATCTACAATGTCAAACTGAATGACTCTGTCATTTCTCCCTTCCTTAAGTATGCCTTTTCATTTTCTATTTTGTTGTTCTCTGACAATAAGTGAGCTGGATCATGGTATGATGATACTAAGGTTTTGAAAGTGAGGAATTTATGAAAATAATAAAGCAATAAGGCTATAGAAAATAAGGTCTTAGGCTTCTTTGTGCTTTTTTTCTCTGTGTTGATTCTGTGTGTTTTCTTTACAGGAGCATGCATGTCTTGTTTGTTTTATCTTTGTTTGCAACAGAGTAATGCTCACTGGTTTGCCCCTTTTTTGTAGGTGCTTGGCCTGTCCTAATTGATGACTTCGTTGAGCACATGTACAGGTTTGATACCTATATCCTCAACTGTGTTCCTCTAAAATTTAAAGATATTCCTTGATGTATTGGACATTAGCTTATTTAGAATATTTGTTTGACAAGAAAAACTAATTTGTTGTCTACTGATCACTTTCTTTTGCATAAGCCAACAATAGAACTCTAATTGTATAATCATGATGATATTTTCATCCGGTCAAAGTTCTGATTTCTTAACGGTCTTCTAACATTGTTCGTTTGCCCATGCTCATCTGAATTAAAGTTGTATTTTCTCTTATTTGAGAAACCTATAAACATTGAAATTAAATCAATTGCTAAATTTGTGTTTTTAGAACTTCACAGAATGACAGGTCATTTTGCTCTTAAAGCATATGGTCAACAATCTTGCTAGCAAAATGATAGGATATTCTTAGAGTTATTATTGTTTGTGCATCATATCTGAAATTTCATCTTGAAAAATTGGATAGCGGTTCACCCTCTGGATATTTTAATTCCCCAGTCTGCTCATGATACATATATACAGAAAATTTGAAATTTGACTGAACAGTCTTTATATTTTGTACCTGCTATTCTACCTGTGTGCACTTGATCTATTTGGTCTATCTATGAATTGGAAAGTAGAATTTATGAGTAGAGAATTATAAATCTATGTCTTTCAAAATTATGACAACAGATCAAGTTTGTCTATATTGGTTCACAGGAGATTCATTTTATTTGAATTTATAAATTTTGAGAATATGATTAAGTTGTTTTGAACTTGAATGGTAAATGCTATAACCTTAATTAGCACAGCATAATCTAGTTACCATTGAAGCTGTTGAGGAAGGGAACATCTAGTTACCATGGAAGTTGTCAAGGAAGGAACATATGATTTCATCTTGCTTTATGTGCAGTGATACAGGGAGTTATGTGTAAGTTCTACTTCGTTATATTTGACTGGTCCATGCATAATATGAGAGGAAGAAGGGGGAGTCGGGGGAGATTTCGCACATGAGTTGCTTAGGCTATATTTGCCTTTTTGACTAAGATTTAGAATGCGTTTAACATGACTTTAAGTCATAGATAGGAAACTTGTTGAGTCAAAATAATGAACTTACATCAACTTTAAAGCTTTTTGAAAAATATGTTTGGTAACAATGGTGATAAAATGTTGTTAGTTTCTCTTCATCTTTTTCTAGATTCTATGAAACTTTATTCTTATTTTTGCATAAAGAAAATGTTACAAACGATGTGTAACATACAAATTCCAGATGAATTAATTCAACCAAGTACTTTTTTGTGACTTGATTTTTTTTTTTTTTTCCGAACAGAACTTAGAAACAACTCAATCAATAGTTTCGAAACACACACTTCTAGAGTCCTGCATGGTGGTAAAAATTTACTTTGAAAGGATGGTATTGCATAGTCTAGTACCATTCTAGCATTGGTAACAAAGATGAGTGAACTTTGATGTTGAGACTGCTGTTCCAACTTTCCTGCCTTTGTCACGTGCATTTACAACTTTTTCTTGCAGGGTATTGGGGTCAAACAAGGAACCAAACTTTTTCTGCAACTGTTGTGATTCAGAGTCTGAATCATGCACATTTGAAGACCCTCTTCCTGGTAATTACTTGAAAGTTCCCCTTTAGTTCCATTTGGTGCCGTGCATTGTTTTATTACTTTCAGGCTACCTGTAAGCTGTTTCCTGAAAACTTGTTTATTGTTGCAGGATTGAAAGTCACTCCTGGTTTGAAGAGGAAGCTGCCTAGCTTCCAAGATGAGGAAATGGAGTCCTTAGATGCCCTATTCCCTCATTCTACCAGCCCAAATTTTATATTGAATTCAAAGAAAAGTAGGCTGATTGATCACAGATCATTGAACTGGGAGGATAATCCACCTGGTAATTCAGCCAGTCACTGCATAGATGTCATTAAGCAGAATAATTCACTTGGGTCCACCAAATCACCATGTGCAGTTGAAGGATGCTTGTCGAGGGGCTTTGCAGGCTTATTCTCAACTCGTTCCTATCTACGACTTGATCATAATATTAGAGGAGAGTCTCGTATACTTAGAACTTCCACCTGAGTAACAAATATGGAAAAGTTGTCCCTTCAGTCAACAATAGTTCGGCAGGATGTCTATTGTGAACTGCGGGGCACTGGTGAGGTTTTTCATTGAATTACTGGTCGATGTTATGTGAATATCTGCTGTGATGGATGGAATTAATAAAAATATTAATTAGATTGTTTGATTTCATAATCTTGTGTGGAAAAAAGGACTTCTGCTTCAATTTTGTGGATGTGACTGTATTTTTGGGTAATTGGGACATGCCTTGCATAAACTTGTTCAGTCTTGAACGTTAACTGCCCTGGGGCAACATTAGTTGACAAGGGTGCATTTTAGACTGCAGCATCTAAAATGACTCTTTTAGACAACTGTTGGTACCTGGTTATGATTGAGTCCAGAAGATCTTATGTGTTGGGAAAAAGGCATCTATATCACAAACAACCAGTTATAATTTTTCTCTGTGCTCTTTGTACAATTAAAATTAGGATTTACCGTTCAATAATAATTCATGTAAAATAAATAAATATAATTATAATCGCAACACAAATTTTTATGTAAAATCTTCGATGAGGGGAAAAAAATTGAGACTATATTCTATTCAAATTCTTCAACTATATCAAATAATAGGATATAAAATTATTCTTTAAGTTTAACTAGAAAATGCACATTAAAACATTAAAGTTATCGTTATCAAAGATAAATTTCAACAACAACAACAACAAAGAAAATGGCTAGTTCACCAAATAGGTGTTTAGAAAATATAAGGTGGAAGCTTTTTAACGATCAATATCGTTCAAGTTAAAAAACTTGTTGGCAAAAACAATATTTCAAAATTTCTCTTGGTCGGGTTTGAAATCGCCATCTTCTCCTTTCTCTCTTCTAGCAAAAAATTCCAGTCTCTCATTTCTTTTGTTGCTTAATGTTCTTGACTTGTGTTATTGTTGGCTATTATACACCATGTGAAAGAAATTTAAAAGTTTCTTTTTATATAGTCACATCACGGTGACTTTAGTTTAGGAAAATTTTTGTCCTTTTTCGTGCGTGTATATATATATATATAAGAAGAGATGTTAGGCCCTATGTAAGGAGTAAGCCAATTCAACAATTCTTTTCCTTCCGACTTATTTTGGGAGCTCCACCAAACCCACTTGTCTTCTATAGAACTTAAGCTTATATCTTGGTAAAAGTTTGATCATCACATCCGACCTATTCTCGTCGATATTGATCTTCTAATAACAAAGGACTTCATCTCTATAGTATTTCAAGCTCATTGTTATCTAAACTCAAAGTGTTCGGATTGTGAATGAAAAGTAGAATGCTTACCGAGATGGATTGCATTCAAACTATCGCAATGTAGCACAAAGTTCTCTTAATCTAAACTAAGTTCGGGTAAGAATTTTTTCATCAATGGCACCCCCCCGCAGTAAGAGTAATGTATTCAACCTTTGTAGAAGATATAGTAATATTTTTGCAATCTCGACTACCATGGAACTACCTCTCAAAAGTCATCAAATATCTTAATATGGACTTTTGAGAATTAATGTCACTAGGAATATCTACATCGTGTATTCATCTAACACAAATTTACCATTACCAAAGCACATGTTGAAATTGAAAGTGCCTCTAATATACTTGACCATCCATTTCACTACTCAACATTAATTTTTACCAAGATTTAAGAGGAATCAACTCACCACACCAACTCGTATAAGCTATATTAGGCCTCTGTGCAAATCATAACATATATCAAGCTATCAATTGCGAATGCATAAGGATCCTTCTTCATCTTATTTCTCATAAGGATCCTTCTTCATCTTATTTCTTTCTTCATCGGTTGAAAGATACTATTTAGAATTTAGCTTAAAGTGATTTGAAAATGGAGAACAAATAGGTTTGGACTTACCCATGTTAGATTTTTCAAGAAGCTTTTTAACATATCTCTCTTTAGATAGCCAAAACTTATCATTCTTCATGTTACGAGTAATCTTCATGCTAAGAATCTACTTTTTCGGTCTCAAGTCTTTCACCGTAAAAGACTTGCTCAATTTTTTCTTCAAACTCTAAATTTTTCTAACATCATGGCCAGCAATCAACATATCATCCACATATAGCAAAAGCATAATAAAGTCATTGTCAATAAATTTGATAAAGGCATAGTGAGTAGAAGTGGTTATACCAAAATCATGATATATCATAAAAGAGTCAAACTTCTTATACTATTATCTTGGAGCTTGCTTTAACCTATACTGATTCTTTTCCAACTTGCAAACTAGCGACTCCTTTTCTTTTGCTTCAAATCGTTTAGGTTGTTCTACATAGATCTCTTTATCTAAGTCACCATGAAAAAAAAAAGTTCGTATCTAGTTGTTCAAGTTCGGGATTTAAGCTAGTATCTAAACCAAATGCAATTTGTATTGAAGACGTCTTGACCATGGGTGAAAAACTTTCATCAAAATCAATACCCTTTCTCTAATCAAAATCCTTCACAACTAATATTGCCTTGCACCACCATGGATAAGATTAATTTTCTTTAGTTTTCAATCTAAACATCCTTTTTTAATGCTTTCTTACTCTTAAAAAGTTTCACTAACTCGAAAGTATGATTCTCATGCAAAGCTTTTATGTCATTTTGTATGGCTTTCAACTATTTATTTCTTCTTATGTGACATAGCTTCATTAAAGCATTCCAACTCTCCTATATTAATAACCAACATAAAATTATGAGGAGGATATTTGATGGAAGCTTGGCAAGGTCTAGTGAACCTCTTTAATCGTGGCTCATCCGATGCTTTTTGAAAAAAATGTTCAAGAGCCACAATGCCATCATCATCATTAGTTGACTCAAGATCATCATTTAATGGCTCAAAGGGAAAACCACTATCATTATTGTTGCTACCTAAAATATGAAACCTTTAAATTGACTAAGAAAAAAGAATTAAGAGTTTTTAAGTTGTCACCTAGAATTGAAGAGAGCTAGAAAGCATAAGAAGAACACTGGATTTAAAGACTTTGAGTAAAGAGTTAGTTATGTCTATTAGAAAGATAACAATTACTTAAAGGCATTTATTCATATGAAAGGTTACCAAGTTCAATCAAAGCTTAAAAAATATATCCTAAAAGTAATGTTTGCCAAAATAATTCCTAAGTCTATCTTCAAGTTTATTCAGAGTTGTCTAAGTCCATAAAGAGTTTTTTTTTTTTTTAATCATAGAATGTATTAAATTAACATTGAGTCTAAGACAAACATCATATCTAATAAAGTCTTGACATAAGCAATGTGTTAGGAACAACCTAGTAAGGTAAAGGTATTTTAACTCGGGATACGAAGGAATTAGCCCACACTCATTATTATTAATTTACTTTTTTTTCTTTTTTATTTTTCCAATAAAAATGGCAAGCCCCTCGTTAGTCCTTAATAAATAGAAGACTCGTTGGTTTGACATAACTCTCCTAATTAATCTTAAAAAGGAATGATCATTTTTTTTATTTAAATTATAAACAAAGGCATACACGAAATCGTCATCGATCCCTAGAATATAAAAGACTTGATGATCCCACATCTTTTGAAAAACAACAACTCGATAGTAGTGCCATTAGCAAACCGATAAAGACATTGTAAAATCATAAGTTTTGAAAAACAACAACTCAATAACAAGCATTATGAAATCATAAGTCCTAAATGAAGGATCATGCATCCTATGGTGGTATGGAATAAACAAAAAATGTATTCTCCTCAATCTAAAGTCCCAAAATCAACCATTGAATCCACTAACTATATATTAATAAGATGGGTTAGATGCTACCTCTTATAGTGTAGATTCTAATTATGGATTCAACTATCCAATTGTCTAATCTCTAGTGATTATCCACTTAGTAAAACACTCACACAAGAAGCGGCATAAGTCCTAGAGTGTTAGCTCTAATTTTTTTTTCCATGTATAATTTTGTCTTAAGAAATCACTCAACAAGATGGCACAAATCTTCTAGAGAGGATGGCGTAATTTTCTCGTTATTTTTTAAAAGATAGATATAATTTTCTTCTTCCGAAATTAGCTTCCTACATCTCTATCTACCTCTCTTTATATATGCTACCAACACTCTTTTTTATTCAAGGAGTTGTAATTTATGTGAGTTTTGTTTGATCTTATCCTTATAAACCCCGACAACATCCCTCCATTTAAAATACCCTTACAAGCTTTCACTTAAGCTTGTTAGCCCAAACTTATTTGGCCCAATAACTCAATAATTAATTTGGACCATCCAATAAACTCGGGTTAGGTAATTTTAGAGAGGCTTATATTAGGAAAAAATTTCCTAAGTTACTCTTGTAGTTTATTAAATCTAGATTAGGAAATTAATTTGCATTTTAGGAAATTTATTTTTAAAATAAGAAACTAATTTCCATTTTAAGTGATTGATTTTCAAACTAATTTTTGAAATACAAAACTAATTTCTAAATTAAGAAATTGATTTCTAAAGTATAAAATAGGTTTCGAAAACTAGGAAATTTTTTTCAAAATCTTTGGTTCTCTTTTTTCGTGTGAATGTTTAAACTTATATACATGACTCAATATGCTTTTAAATATGTTGGTAATATATCGAAAAGTAAAAAATACTTTTTTTATCTCTCAATATATAAATCAAGATTGACTTCTAGAAAGGCATCATGACTATCCAATTATCTAGAAAGATTACTTAATCCATAGTAATCTTTCATGATAATGGTTTTTATACAATTCAATCCTCGCTTCAATTTATCATAGTATGATCTCAAACTTGGTTTATATTCTATTCAATTATGATCATATAAGTTTTCTTCAATCTCCAAATGTCTTAACTCTTAAGTAAACCAACTATGTTCTATTGATATACTTCCACTATGGCCATAGATTCTTGAGCGGACGTTCATCGAACTACAATGTGATAAATCTTTTAGCATATAAGGAATGACATGTCCTATCTCGAGTTATCCACTTATCTCCATTAGATTTTTGATGCATCAAATGAATTGCTCACAT